AGTCCCCATCCCTGGACGTATTTAAAAGACGAGTAGATGCGGCACTTAGGGACATGGTTTAGTGGGCATGGTGGTGTTGGGTCGACAGTTGGACTCGATGATCTTAGAGGTCTTTTCCAACCTTAATGATTCTATGATATTCTATGATCATCAACAGCAACGTATTCCGATTAACTCCTTGTTTCTATTTCACTAAACATGAAGGCCAGAGTGATACAAAGCTCATTTGAGGATCTGATCTCAAAGTTGCATTTTTAAACACAGATGATGGGCAGAAAGGCAAGAGAGGCGGGCTCCAGGCCAAGTGGCTGGAAAGCACTGAGGTAAAAGCCGATGGAGTTTCACTGAATAACATATGATGTCAGCAATTTCAGCAATCTTGTTTTCTCCCAATAAATCCTTAGCAGAGCTTCTCGAAAAAAAATTCTCCAAATTTTTTTTTTTTTTTTTTTTTTTTTTACAGAACCACTCTTTCACAGTTCCTTCAAATTCCCAGAAAGTGCAGCCACTTAAACTGAAACACTGGCTCAAACTGAAAATTTGACAAATTTGGGTTTGCTGGGGGGGTGGGGTGGGGTGTTGGGTTTTTTTTCCCCTCTCCCTCAAAGCAAAAAGGGATGGGAGAGTTCTACCACTCTTGAAGCATCCTATTTCAGTCGTTTCAGAATTAAATATTTCCTCTCAAAAGAGGCTTTTTATTTCAGTTACATTTAATGTCAAATCTTAGGTTACAAGAAAGTCAAGACTAAAGTGAAAGTGTGATCACAGCACGGTGGTTCCTCTTTCATGGAACATTTTGAAAGTGGGGGGTTCCAAAACACGCTTTTCATCAGATACAGAATGAGATTTCAAAGATCTCTCTGAAGTGAGGTTTTACATTTTCCATAGAACTGCACAGATCTTAAAAGCTAGGGAATTGATTTTCTTTTCACCTTTAATGACAAAAGCTTAGCTAAAATGAATATAATTTTCTGACCATTTTCCACAGATCATTTTTGTCTGCATCAATCACACTTTTCTTTTGCCCACTTCTGCTGAAATTCTACATCTAAATTCTGTTAATAGCTTAAGGGCAGCTACAGGACCCTTCCAAACATTTAACCTTTCTGGTCTGCCTTTCTTCTCTAAAAATCCATTAGAAATGCTGAATTACAGGCTCAGCCAAGCGATACTTAAATTCATGAAAACTGGGTGGATAGAAAGTGTCATCACACAAATTTACTATAACCAATTCTTATCCAGATTTATTTTACAAGGGAAATAAATTCTTAATTGTCCTAAACATGAGAATATTTTATCATGGTGAAGACCTGCATGAAAGTCAAAACAAATATGCTTAGGAAAAGGCATTCTACTCACATACAATAGTTTTTGATGTGCGTGTTCTTCCAAGTACTTTTCTGTACTCATTTTCTAATGCTCTTTCAAAGGACAAAATTACCTATTTACAAGTATAGTCAGGCTTTTTTCAGACAATCGGCAACTTTAAGCAGATGCTACACCAGGCTACTTATTGCTGCTACTTCTCCCGTCCCTGCTGTCTTTTCAGCACAAGGGAACAACAGGAGTGGGGAATCGGTCCAACTCAAAAATAACTTGTCAAAAACTTTCTTTTTTTTTTTAAAGGCAGGTCTGTTTTCCCCACTCAGTTCACCACTTGGCTACAAAACCCACAATGCTGGCGTAAGGGATGAGGTAGCACAGGGGTAGGCAGAGAGAGAAGATAAACTGCTTAACCTGCCACTGCTACTACTGAAACGCACATCAAACTGCACCCTTGTTTTGAGAAATATTTTATCGGTGAAGACAGTATGAATTGTATGAATTCATTGTATGAATACAATCGTATTTCAACCCTGTATTGCAAGATTCACAGCTTTGCTATGTCAATGTATTATGCAGTACATGCTTCTAAAATTTAAGGCTTTCTAAAGACAAAATTAAATTCAAATAAAATGTGAAAAATGTGAAACAATTGATATTTGGGGTCTTTTACAGTATATTAGCTTTTTTTTTTTCCAAAGTCTGCAAGAACCAATATCTTTATCTAAATAAGTTATGGGAGAGCTTATCATAAAGTGATCTATTTGTTACTTTATTCAAATAACTTTCTTTTCATCATTCCCAATTCTGAACTTATGAAAGGGTGTCGGCCTGGCCCTGCCAAGACAGTGAGGTGGGTAATCAGATAATGAGTTTTTTCCCTACATTGCTCCTTGAACAGGTTTAGACTTCATTGAATGACTTCCTTCCAGGTGATTAAAGGACCAAAAAAAGAAACAAAAAAAAAACCCCAAACAACAACAACAAAACTAGAAAATAAACTTTAAGGTTTGGACTTTTTTTTTATGTTTAAGAAAACTGTGAGGAGACAATTTTCCACTCTCCTTTGCTCTGAAGTGCAAAGTTACTAAAACATCTTAACAGAAGCCCCTGACCATCATTCGATCTACGATCGAGGCCTTTGTCTTGCAGGACTAGATTCCCAAGCTGCTTTTAAGGATGCTTTAGTGACCAACTTAAAAAGCTGGAAATGGTGTTTATACATTCTGCTGACCGCCTTCATCCTTCAAGAAGACATCTGCAGAGCAAAACAATACAAGTTTTGGCCTTCCTGTGGTATTTTGACTGCCCATAAAATTAAAAGCCGTAAAAAGACTTCGATGTTTTCAAATACTTTAAGAATATGAAAGAAAAATAAACCTTGCAAGGATTAACATAGTTTTATTTTTTGAGTACACACAAAACCAAATAAGGATATTATTCACAATATAGAGGCTTTTTAAGGAAACTACTAAATATTAGTGAAAGTTACAAAACACCTGAAATGCAAACAACTGAAAATCTGCTCATTGTAGCCAGAGTCTTGATCTGTTCCCAGCACTTAAGTGGCACAGGTGGGCAGTAAGAGTTTATTTGTGACTTCACTGCTGGACACAAAACATCTGGTTGAAATTACAGTCACACATAACACCTACATGAAAAACAGCGATCCCTGGGCACCAGCATTACACAGGGACCGCACGTCCCTGCAGCCAGCCCCCACGAGGTCAGCAATGCCCCAGCACAGGCACAGGGACTGGCACCAGTAACCGCCTCCAGCACGACGGGCTGCCTGCTCCGACAGCAGAGGTTCTAAGGTCCGTAGAATACAAAAAGGCTCAGACGGTCTCCGAGGATGAAGTAAAAATTTTAACCTGAATTCACTTCTCAGAAACATGGAGGCAGTTTTAGACTGTACGTATGTGTCTCTGCCATCTCCACAAAAGCCCTTCTAAAAAAGGGCAATTTTGTGAGCGTCCTATGCAGCTATGTAAGTATCCAGATGGAACATGAATTAGCGATTGATTTCATTAATTAGAAAAGTTGCTTTGAAGGAAGTTAACATTATTGACAGAAGTCGTTTGCAAGCACTGTTCTCTATCGAAATCTAAGCTTTGCCTTCAACAAAGGCAAACGTTTTTTCCCTAACGAGCAACCTGCACTGAAAACTAATTAGAAACCACAGGTATTTTGCGTGTATTTCACAACCAGTGAAAGGCTAATCTCGAATAGCTAACCGCACACGGCTCGGCTTCTACAGATAAAATGCGTGAGTCACTCACACACCCTTTACGGTCAGGTTACGCAAGCCTGTCCCAGCGCTGCTCACATGCAAGGGCAGAGTGGCACGCAGTCATTCATGCAGCGACTGCCTCTGCTACTCTGCATGCATCCCTCTGAGCCCAAATACATATTTAGTATTGGATACATATTTAGTTGTTGGATACATTAATTTTTCACTCATCAAAGCGTATCACACAGGAGAACATTTTGTGTACCTGTACCTCTAATTCTAAGCATAATTCTTGACCCTCGTTCTTTCTTTTTTTTAAATTAGTCAAGCCCATGGTTACTACCTGGTATAACGTAACAAAAAGAAAACACAAAAACCCAACAGAGCTGCCAGCTACACGCTGTGCAAACCAGGACGGACACACTGTGTAAATGCATACAAGTGCTAAAGAGCTTTCATGGTAAAACACTCAATGTACAGCTTGTTTTAAATCATTGACTATATTCAAAGTGATTGCTATATATACAGTTTTCTTTATTTAAATGAAAACCTCTCATTACGTTTGGTTATGCTAAGATTTGCATCAATGACGTGCTAAATGCCAATGGACTATTATAA